ACTTAGTAAGTGACGTGCATTAAAGCATCAATAAGTAAGTGACAACGTGTGGAGCTTTATCGCCAAGCCTCACATACACTTTAAAGTCATTGTACTCAGTTATGGAGACGACTTTCTAAACTCCGCTATAGATTTTCATCGTGCGATGCGGTGGAGTGGTTAGCACTCCGCAGGTCCTGGACTTTATTCTTCACGTTCTGTCCTTACACATTCTGAGGAAGTAGGAAAAGCTTCTTAAAATAATCCACGACCATTTCCCTCCAAATTTAACTCACTTCTCACTTGCTTTACTCTACACTCCATAAGCCTATAGATTACATTCTGCAACTCACTCAGTCGAGAAAACGTCGTCAAATAAACTGAGAACTAGTTGAGAGTGTAGCTTGGTACTTACCGAATACAAAGAATCGAAGTAGTATTTGAGGTTCTCAAGGGTTGTAGTGTCCTGCAGTATGGTAGAAGTTTACCGACGTTTCAGAGGTCCTTGCTGCCTCCAACAAGGAATCAGGGCATTTGTGCAGATGGCTGTTTGCTGGGTTGTTTCGCCGTGCGGTCTTTTGGCTGTTAGCACTAACGTTTCGGAAGAATATTTCATCTTCAAAGCCGGAGTGAGGATGGGTAGAAAGTGGTTATTTGTATAGGGTTAAAAGTTGGATCAGGATAGCGGTTATTTGTTCTATTTTATTTATGGTTTATTAAACAACACTTTTAGTAGCTTAGTCTATGTGGCGTAGGATAATTTGTTGATTAATTAATGATAAATTTGAAACAGCATGGAAGGAAGCTATTGTGGCCTAATTTAAGGGGTTTGGGGCTTTATGTCTTCCACTAATGCTGGTTGGTTGGTGATATTTGCTATTAAGGGATATTAAACCTTACAGGATAATATTTAACTTGTGTTTGTTGTTAAGACCGTTGCTATGGTAATGCTTTTAATTGATTTTAATCCTTGTGGGATTATATTTATGATTTGTGGGATTAATACTTTATATTTCCCCGTCAATGTTGACGGACAATTTATTAGTCGCAATACAAAGCAACAAAACCTACACTTTGGTATCATCGCGGATGAATCGCATGCCCATTGAGAATTGAAGACTGAGAAGTCAATTAAATGACGCCAATCCAATAGTGATTCCAGTGCTTCATTATCGAAGAATGATTTGGCGGATGTTTCACAGTAAAATGGAGAAGCCGTATCCGTCCAGAATACAGCATTGACGTCAAGGCGCAAACCGATGCTAGCGTCGTAGTTGGTTCTGGCAGTTGCAAGGACAATGACACCGATTTGGTGTCGGAAGACTCTGATGACATCGACAAATCTAAATTAAATGCATTGACTATATGTACAGGGTGTCCCAGCTTTGGTGGCCGCTTGCCAGTCAGTTGATCACCGTTATAAATTGTGCCACGAAGTTAACTTCGGTAATTTTTAACATCTAAATATTTTTCGCTAATTCATTAAGTGCCAATGCTGATGCATGTAACAGTTTAGTTTCTTAAAACGTATTTATTTAATTCATTGAATATGTATAATTTTTTTTGGGACACCTGTGTATGGGAACTGGTATAAACCTTGTGCAACTTGTGTGGAGCTATACCAACTCCTAAGGCTATAAGAACAGATGAAATAAACAAGTTTAATAGCTGATAAGCATTTATTCACACTCACGAGATTAAAAAAGGTCTGAAGTGGAAGACGTATATATACAGTGGGCTAGTTTGTATACATGTTGAGCTCTGACCTTTGACAAATGTGTACAATAAAATGAAAACTTGTCATAGGCAAAGTATAACATCCGTAATAGGGTGCCTCAAAAATCACGTAAAATATAAGCTTCTGTTTCGTCCAGTATTGCCTAGGCATTTCACACGGTGCGGAACCTTGTGAGAATTATTTTTAAAAATCAGACACCTTTAATAAGTACTTTTTATTTAATTTGTCATAATTTTCAAACTGAATAATAATTTAATGAATCATATATTAATAGTATTTGTTTTCCTTTCGTCATACAACAAAAAAGTTATGTTTTCCCTGGAATTTAAGCAATTTAATCAATTAATAAAATTCGTTGTACTGCATAGTACAATAATTTAGTTTTCGTAAATGAAGATAACACATTACCCGGAAGTCTTGGCATTGTGTAAAGGGCGTAGGAGTTTTATTAAATGCCCAGGAAAAGTGTATAATAATAATAATAATAATAATCTTTATATTTTGTGCTTCGTTGAAAGATTATTGTATTGTATAGAATGCCTGGATTTTAAACTTTGCCTGTAACGTAGTTTATGGTGTGTTATCTCTGTTACAATTTAAAGATATAAAAACAAGTGTATTGACCTTAAAAATATTAAAAGCACGGTATTACACGTTACAGAAATCTCATTGCCAAAGTTGCATTCCTCGGAATGGCCTTAAATGAACTTACCATTGATAATTATAATGATAATTGAAATTGGACCATGAAGGGATTGACATTTACATGCTATTAAGCGAACACATTCTTTGTAAGTGAATTTTTAACTCTATAAGCGAGTGGTAATTATATGTATGGCCGTCTTTAGCTCGGAATTTTGTCCAAAGAATGTAATTTTGGTTTTAATCTGGGTCTCTGAATAAACAATATTTCCATAAGCATTAACCGATTTATATATGGAACGGATATGTAGTGTTTTCTTGGACGCAGAAACCAAATTTTTAAACATTATTTAGATGCGCTATTCCGTCTATAGATGTTTACATGGAAAGACTTAAATAAAACACGTAATTTTAATCTTATGAGTTAATCGTTGTCACTTGTTTGAAATTAATTTTACATAACTCATTTATAAATTACAGTAACCGTAACGAAATTGCATGCCTCAAGAGGCTACAGAAGGACCCTAACCGTCACTACAGAATTGCTAGGTTTGCTGCGCTGCGTGTTCTAAGTTGTTTTTAATCTCCTTGACTTCGCGGTTGGTTTTACAACGTTGTATTATTTTGTTCTGACAGTGAAGCATGTTATTTGATGACGGCTATTATAACCCTTTATTTGACAAGTATGTTCGTCACTAAATGGTAATTGGTGGATAGTACATCATGTGACGACCTTACATCAGCCACGATGTTAGCGTTGGATGATATGGTGAACTTGTAAGGATATGTATGAAGAATTCGTGGCTAGTGGCATTTCCTGGAAGGTCTGAGGAAGACTATGACAAAAAATTAGAGTTATATTTTTGCCCAGCCGAGACTGGAACCGGGTACTTTCTGAGTAATTGTCAGGAACGATGCATTTTTAGCTACTTTGGTCGGTGTCACGTGACATTAAGATTATAGCAGAAAATGTGCTTACACGTTCGGATTAGTTTGTTGTAAACGTGTTAAAAAATTGAAAGCTTTCCGTCTTATTTATCAATCAGTGGCACGGAAAATACACGTAAATGAAAATTCTGTCGTGTAATGTATTCGTACTAAATTTGTTATACAGTGTGTGATTTGAGGTTTTCACGGCGGTGAGTCTGAAGATGGTTATCTTCTGGGTTGTTGCGCCATGTAGTCTGGTGAAAGTTTACAAGGACCTCCGAAACGTCGGTAAACTTATACCGGACTACACTGCGCATCAACCCAGAAGACAACTATCTTGTTGTACAGTATTGTACAAAGGAGCATGTATTTTCGATATAATTTAAAATTATTAGTGTATAAAATGTAAATACTTAAAATTAGTCACATAGGGAAGTTGTTAGTTCGACAAGTACAGTTCTTACATATGAACGGTAGCTGTTTATGTATGTGTGCATATAATTCATATTTCTAGTTTCAATGCCTGTCTTACTTTAACATTTTAGCATTTATGAAACAAATTAATCTTCTTAATGTATACTTTTGTATAGTACCATAATTAATGTATACTTACAACATATATGCATTATTGTTTAACTCTGGCTTTGACTAATACGTTTCGCTGAATGTACTATGTTTTCAAACGTTTTAGCAGACATTGCCGCTGCCATATTTAAGGTAAATGCGCTTGCGGGTTTAGAAGGTGAATGGAAGGGCTACCGCAAAGGCATTCACCCCGTACATGAAAACTACAGTGTTTATCGAATCACTGTAGAAGCTTCAACATTCCGCGAGGCTTATTACCGAAATCCGAAGTTTTCCAGATAAGAAAAACTTTGGACAAAATATTAGATATATTGTATCTGTATTTTCTAACACAAATATTTATTATATGTTTTACTCATAAACAAGTTTTAAAATACATATCAGATATTTGTAAATGTCTTATATTTAAAGATCTATATTTTTTTATTTTTAAAAATAGAACCTTAAACAAATTTTCTGATATATTAAGATAAAAACATGGAAGATATGTTAGTGACATCTTGTAGTCTTGTACATTCGTACCAATATTTCGGAGGAATTTCTTTATCTTCTACCATGAAAATGGAGACTAGAAGTTTTTACGTAACGGTGGTAATCATCTAGAAAACTCAGAGAATTACAGTCTGAATTTTAACCACTGTCGAAAGCTGAGATATCATGAGAATGTCTGTATTCTGGGATGCTGCTCCATGTAGTCTCGTAGAAATTGACCGACGTCTGAGACATACTTCTTGTTTCCATCGTCGCCCTGATGATGGAGGCAGTACACACTTCTTAAACGTCTGTCAATTTTTAAGAGATCACATGGCGCAACATCCCAGAACACAATCCTCTTCATATCCGCGGCCGTGAGAACCTGAAATCTCACATTCATATCTCATATTTATCAATATTTGAAGTATATCAAATTTTTTGTACTGTGGAGAGCGTATCCAAAAATACTGTATCGATTTGTAGGCTATTTGATACTGATACATGTATTCCGTTTTATTAGTATTTTATATGTATCGACTTTCTTCGCGACATTGTATTCAGATATCGATATCTTAGCAACAAAACCGTGGGACGAAAAATCAGAAACCAACTAAACTTTATTTTATCCTCTGATGTTAAATTATGTTTAATATTGCATCTATTATTCGCTCGCGGTGTGGGTTTAAAACTCGTATTTCATTTTAGAAATTCCTTTGAATAGTACAGTGCTTTCCTCTTCCGCGTGAAAGTCCAATTGGAGAAATGACAGTCACCTTTTGAAGCCGAAGTTCGTTTAAATAATATTTAGGAATTCAGTATGTGCCGTAATGAAGCTGCTGGTGGGATAATATTCATGCGGTCTTAGGAAAATCAGCGAAATATTTTTCAAAAGTTATTAAGTTAATATACACAAACTGAAGGACACATGGACATGATGATACCATGCGCCTTTTTTTTAAAATAAAATAAGAAAACGAGTTTAAAATTATTTACAGTTTATTGCGTAATCGAAATAGAAATGTTAAAAGTCCATAAGGGGTAATTTGTGAATTTTCTGCTTCTCATTATAAACCTATAAAATATAAATGTTAGTTTATTCGTATATTTTACGCAGATATTTCAAGTTTTATCGGACTTTTAAGTTGTGTGTTTCATGCTATTCACTGACGTAAATAAAACTTCATTGCTAAAATGACAACTTCCATGTTTTCTTTGCTACTTATCTAAAATTGTTTGCATCATCGTCATAAATTATATCTAATTTACACATGCCATAACATTTTATACAAATATACATATTTACCTAAAAATATTTACAATTTAAAATCATGCTTGATTAATTTATTTGATGTTCGGTGCTCAACATTTCTTGACATTTACTATTCCAGATTTAAATCTTTTGTACTTAAGATACCAAAGTACGAAAATAGAATAAAATGTTGGCACGACACGTTTAAAGAAACTGTGACCCATGAGTAACATGCGTTATTATTATAATAAATAATACATTAGAATATTTATATTCATAAAGATATTATATTCAGTCTGTTATCTTGATATATAAATACGATATGATCAGAATATATTCTGTCATTGATACATACACCTGGGAATTTACACTTCATAAATATATATCCTATCTTAAATTTACATCAACTGTGTTCTGTATTTAACACAAAAAATTAAGTTAAGCACTAAACAATGTCTTTAATAAGCACTAGCAGTTCCGCTTACTTAACTAATGAGATCAATTATTGTAGATTAAATAAATATATTTACAACTTTGGCAAAATCTGTAGGAATTAAGTTGCCTTATCATCGTGTTTTCTCACATTATTTAACTCAAAGAATAATAAGTATTATATGTAAAAGGATTTAGTGACTTAAACAAAGAATTTATATAACAGTTTTCTCGTAGTGTTCGACGGCTAAATGGAAATATATATTCTTTCTCAGATAAATATTATGAATTATATTTCCTGTGAAAGGCTTAGTCCGATTAGTAATTTCATGAATTTATATTTACGTTTATTGTTAAATGTCGATAATCTAATTTAGAAGATCAGTTTTTTCTATAAAAAATATATTTTATTATTGACTGTAATTCTCATATAATTGCTAATGTGATTTGTAAAATTGTTTAATTACGCACATATTCATTTTGACTCGCCTGTGTTTTGTTCTTTTTGTTACAAGTAATGTCTGCAAGCCATATTCAGTTATATACGGCCATATTTAAAATAACTAGTGAAATTTCATCGTTATCTATATGCTGTGTGGATTAAATTCAATATAGAAGGACACTGTAATACTGTATTTGAGAAATGTATACAAAAGGTTACGTAGATGTATAACCTGAGGGGAAGACAACACTTCAGAGAACTGGGAATGGATGAGGGGATAATATTAAAATGCATCTTAAAAAAAGCAGCGTGAAAATGTAAATTTAATCGATTTAGGATAGGGTCCAGTGTTGGACCTTAGTGAACATGGTCATGAAAATTTGGTTTCTACAAAGACGGAGAATATTCTGATTAGCCGAATGACTGCTAGATTCTTAAGATGTGCGTGGGTAACTGTGGTGTGGACATGCATCAAATTAGTATCCTCATATAGGCCTAGGCTGAATTTATTTTTGAAAAAAAAAATTACTTATATACGCATCGGGTCGCCGCCAAATCGCCCACGCAAAGAGAAATACATAAAATTATATTAAGGAAGTTCAACTCTCGAAATCTTAAAATTTACAATTTTCAGATAATGTTACTTCTTCCACCTTATTAAGTTTATTTTCAACCTCCTCAAAGTGAGCCCATTTAGAAATATTCATTTGGAATACCGATATTATAGTAAATAAATCGACTACAATTTAAATGTAAACACATTAAATATTATATTTATATGTTTAATTAACTAAAAAGTTAATTTATTATTCTACGCAAAAAAGAAACCGTGGACTGTAGTTTGTGGTAAAAATGGCATTTAATCAACTGCAGAGGTTATTTGTTAGGCTATTGAATGATATGAGAGGACAACTGCGCTCTGTTAACTGTAAAGCAAGATGGAGGTAAAGGCTGACGGATACTTTAATGTAAAACAAGGCTTATTCTAACACTGACTGAAGGGGCTGAAGGAAATCACAAAATATTAGGGTAATATGTGTCTCGACCGAGTTCCGAACAGGACACCTCTCGATTATAAGTCAGAATATGTTATCGCTAGGGTTGATTTGTTCGGTGGTAAAGACATTGAACTTACTGATCCCTCATCTACGGAACCCTAATGAATTCGTATAAGATTTAATTAAAATATATCTGCATTGTTCACTGAAACATATGGGAGAGGGTTAAGCAAGACAATTTAAATGTAACCATTTCTGTGCTGACATTTTGTCCAGCAAGAAATCCTAATACTCTTTACATTTATATGAAAATTTATCAGCTCAATTTTACTAAAGCATATAAATATCTTCAAGTCTCAAGGAATACCAGTAAAGATTTGTCACATACAGAAGATTACAAGAGACTACTTTGAAGGCGATATATATCTTTCATAGCACAGAAACGTTTAATACTAACACAAACCTAATACTCATTGTAAGAACGGTGGTCACTTATTTACGATACCCAGAGCTTTGGAGGCCTTCATCGTCATTAATTTTACCAGGATACATCGAATTCGTTCCTGCTAAAAGCAAATCCAATCTCATTGTGTCTCAAATCCCCCGGGGCACTAATAGTTGTGGGCGGTGCCTCTATGAGGTACGTGCCGCCTTCATCACTTACGCGAATATCAGTAACGCAAGAGTCACTTCTAAAATGACCTGACGCCATTAGAGGCATCTCCTGTCTTCATACACTTTCAAATTTTGCTGTGGTTTGATAATCACACTGGAGGAGCCATTCCCAAACTCGTTTCGTCATCGCCTTCTGGTCTATTGTCGTCTCTAGTCCATACCCACTCAACAGTTTCTTTAATCTGTTTTTACTTTCGTCAACCAAATGCGTCTTGTCGTCTAGTTGGTACAGATACATATTGATTGACTCTCGTCTAGAAAGTTCGATAACAGATGAAGATGCACACCCTCCTCCACAACTTGACGTCTTTCCAGATGTCTTCCTGTCTATCCAACGGTCTCTCAGATATTTAATAATCTCGGTCGCAGACGACCTCTTGTCAGGCTTTCTTTCCAATAATCGCTTTATCATCCTTAGGAAACGAGATGTAAATGGGCGGAATTGCACTGGTACCTTCGTCGTTTTTCTCTTTTGCCAACGCATAAAATTGCAATAATCGCTGTCAGATATATCAGCAGATTGCCACGGAGGACATCCGGTCAAACATACAAACAAAATTATACCAAGTTGCCAACAGTCCGATGAAAGTTTACATTCGTATCTCTCGTTACTGACTAGTTCGCATATTTCTGGTGGTAGAAATGGTTGCCATATGCACCGATGTTTTGTTACCATGGTACCTTCTCGAACGGTTGCACCAAAATCACAGAGTTTTATAAGTGTCATATCAGCTGCGAATACCAAAATATTTTCCAATTTTAGATCACGATGAACTAATTTCAGTGAATGAAGGAATGTAACTGCTGATACCAGTTGCTCAGCTATTCTTTTGCAGTACAATTCCGACAACCCCCCGGCCTTCACAGATCCAGAAAGATCACCAAGTGGAGCGTATTCTTGTGCAAATACGAAACAGTTCTGAGTTGTGAAAGCTACAGGATAAACAGATAATATATTTGGGTGTGCACTTAAGTGATAACTGTAATGGTATTCTCTGTCGAACTCATTTTCAGCAGTGAGTTCCATGTGGATGGCTTTCAACACAACTTTGGTGCTCGTGCGCCGATGTCGCACGAGTAGAATCCTGGCGAAGCTGCCTTCGGCAAGGGTGGCTCGGATGTCGTACTCTGTGGAAATATCGATGTCATCGAGTTTTGTCTTCTGGATGTTGTGCACTCCCATCTCTTTCTCCTTGTTCTTCATTCTGCCTTGGCCGCTTTTGGCAGTCGAAGGCCAGCTACAGCTATACCACAAATCCTGTCAGAATGAAAGAACACGCCAATGAAAATCAAATTTACTTTCACAAACAATCGAACAGAACTATCGATGTTGGTGTTATGGGTAGTAACGCCGTGTGGACTTATAAATACATATCGACGTTTCGGAGGAACACAAAACATTCATATTCTTGGCGTCTTTAGGCGTTACAACTCAGAAGACCAACATCGATGTATTTTATCGCAGTGAGAACCCCAAGTATCTTGTGTTGTTAATAATATATTTAAGTAATGCAAGTTATTTCATTGTCTAGTGTGACAGATTGCACATATGGCTACACGATCGAATCCTAGTTCAGTCGGAACATTCTTCATTGAAATTACGAGTATCTTATAGATTGTATTATTATTCCATCTATCCACCAATTTATAGGGTATTTACTTCTACGTACCTAAGACAAACCTTGCTTCTGAGGTACATAGTGCAGCAGCTATTTCCGAAATACATTTTGTTTTTATTATGTGTTACATATATATATTATATAGTTTTATTGAGAGGGATGACTATATATGTTACGACAGCGTCTTTCGAATGATGTATGAAGATCCTAAAATGGCAGTTGTCGTGTTCGCCCAGAATGTTGGCCAAATATTTTCTGAGTGACTTGGAGACAGTTCCAGTTGCTCCTATAATTATTGGGATTACTTGTGCTTTTCTTTTCATATTCTCTGTATTTCTATGAGAAGGTCCTTGTATTTGAAGATCTTCTCCGCTTCCTTCTTAATTACATTCCTGTCAGTTGGTATTGCTATATAAATCAAGGGACGAGTTTCAGTTTTGTTTCGGATTTATTATTATTATTATTATTATTATTATTAATATTGGCTCTTGTAGCTATTGAGTTAGCGAGTTAAACAAAAGAACTGAACTGAATCACTATTTTTTTCTGAATTACTTATTACTTGAGTATATATTTTGTCTATCTTAAATTTGTCAGTTACAACCTCAAAGATCTGCACCAATACTATATAATGGTAATGATTTATACTTGCATTTCATAAATACTGGATTCGAATCTAGGCCGTTTCATGGACTCGTGTTCTCTAATTAATAAGTCGGTCTTGTACAATATTCCGAATTTCGTCATTTTTCAAGTTTGTAATGAAATTGTGTTTGGACGACCTTGAATCTGAAGTTCCTAAGGAATTGTAATCATTTCGATACTCTTTTGTCTCTGAGTTAAGTCGTAATAATCCACGCGCCAATTGTTACTTCTATTTTAATTTTGTTTATGATCTATCAGAACATGTGCTGCCATATGCAATCTCAACGATTTGTGTATTATACTGACTTCCTGTTTGTGAGAATAAAAGTTTTAATTCGTTAAGTTAAGTTAGGAACATCCATAGGCTTATCTAATTTTAACCTATTTTTACTTTGTTGATTTTTACCCGAATATTTCCTTAATTGTAGCGAAATATTTTAGGAAATTTTCTCTTGAGATAACCCACAGTTCGTTTACAGACAAGAAATCACTTGCCTTTTATGGGCCCAAAAGTTTATTACTGTGTTCACAGAAGTCCGCCACTGCTGCCTATCTTAAGTCAAACTTCCATCTAATTCAAGGTCTTCCAGGTGGTATTTTCCTTCCAAGGTTTCTTACTAAAATACCGTGTACGTGTCTAATATTTATACGCGCTATATGCCCTGCCCAACTCATCTTACTTGATTTGATTTCCCAAAAAATATTTGGTGGAGACTAGAAATAATTAAACTCCTCAACATATAATTTGCTTTTAATTCTTTACCTTAGATCTAAATATCCTCTCCAGTACTTTATTCTAAAACAACCTCAGTATGTGAAAATCTATGAACAAGAACTTAGTAACGCAAGTACATTTTGGAAAATGAAAAATGCAATACCTCCGCTTTCCTATTTACAAACTAAATGCATAGCGATAACTGAAGATGTGTCACAGACGGCGATTTGGAAGGGTGGTTCGTAGGGCGCCTTTACCCTCCCAGAGCCCTAAAAATAGACTAGAATGCAACCATCCCCTTGCCGGGACAACAGCTATTCTCATCCTGATACAAAATCGATAAAAGCTGACGTCACATTGTGTGTATCTGCAATAATTCTTCTGTCCCAAGGGATTGGTTTTGTTACCTTTGAAGCAACACACGCCTGGTTGATGCAACCCGCTATCCATTATGCAGCGAACCAAACGTAGATTAAGGATGTTTAAATATTTAGTGCTGATGGCAGTTTATAAAGCCAAGAGGAAGGAATTTCGAGATGCTGGATGAACCGTGTAATGGAGAGCTTTGTAATCTGTACTCCTCAACAATTTTATTTGGAATGATGAAGATGGATGGACATGTAGCATGTATGAAGACCATACAATATTGTATTAAGAAACCTTGTAAATACTATGTGTTGAGGACACAGTAGGTGCGGACTGGATTAATTTGACTTAGGACAGAGACTGGTGGCGGGCTGTCGTGAACACGGTTATGAACCTCTAATTACATAGAAGGCTGTACGTTTTTTTGGGTACTGGGGTGATTGTTTAATGATGATTTGTAAGAAAATAACGTAAAATGAATAGGATGTGGTCTATTTTAACATATTTTAGAATTTACCCAGAGGAAATGAGAAAAACCACTACAAATTTCGCGGTCTTTCCAATAAATATATCTTGCGGAGGAAACAAGAAGTGCATGGAGAATTGATGCAGAAACTGCTGAAGAATAACCCTTTGGAAAATCGAGGAAACTGGATGACAGTATTGTTCTGAACCTGATTGGAATAAATTGGGAGGTCGGGAGGTTGATTGAACTGGCTCAGAATCTTGTCTGATGGCGGGCTTTATTATTAACGATATTTAGCCTTCGATTTCTGCTACAAAACATCTAATTAGTTGCGGAGCGTGTATTAAACTTTGTTAAATCTTCGGGTTATGTTAGCTGACACGTGGTTCTTGGTGTCAGTTAAAGCTTTAGTGATAGCGATGTTAAACCGTCTGTTTCTTGTACCAGAGAGTTTGCTGTTGTATTCAAACTGTAGATTTGGCAACGACAATTGTTGAGAAACTTCAGTGATGTTTTGTATCTAATATTATTTATTGTTTTCTTCATCTAAGTAAGAGGTTCACGGCTGCTGTACGCCTTTGAATTGGTATCAATATGAGAATACCTGCACAGATTTTGGGCGTAATTTGAATAAATCGAAATTAAATTTATGTGGTTTATTTCTGCTTATTGTAGTCTATATGAGCTGTGAATATGATAAAGACCAGTTTAACGAATAGGATGTTTTTTGCTCTAACAAACAAACAAAGGAAATAAGAAACTAAGTAGCCAAATAATTTATTAACACATTAAGTAACTAAACAAATGAGGACTGAAATATATGAAGTTATAATATTGCCTGTTGTTTTGTATGGTTATGAAACTTTATGGCTCACATTAACGTAAGACGATACATTGATGATGTCTGAGAATAAGATGCTGTGGAGAACATTTTGACTTGAGAGCTGAAGAAAATAGTATAATAAAATTTTTCACCATTTTTGCTTCTCAGCAAATATTATAATGATCTAATCAAGAATATAAAGAATTGCGGGTACATGAGCACATATGGAACAGGTGTGATATTCACAGTACATACCTCCATAACATTTTATCGATAAAACCTAAAAGGAAGAAGCCATTTGCGATATGTAGGTGCCTAAAGAAGGGCAATAAAAACTGAATTTTTAGTAGAGTGTGGAGGTGTGGACTGGATTCAAATCCTGTGGTGGGCTGTTGTGAACACGGAAATTAGCCTTTGACTTTAATGGAAGGCCGGGATATGTGTTGACTAACTGTTAGAATATTAGCTTTATAAGAAAGACTGCGCTACGTGGAGTTAATTTTGCCTGATTAGATTTTATAGAAATGTGAACGTTTCGCTACGTGATTTACAAAACCTGGTGAAAATTAATGACGTGTTGAAGCGTGGCATTTATAATGTTATGTGGCGATAGATCATAAATGTAGTTAGCCTGCCGATTGTATTTATGTATGAACAGTTGCAAACATGACGATAATCGACCCTGCCAAATTTAAGGTAAATTGTAACTGTAATGTATCGCTCTATAAAACTATACACATAACTGAATCATGAAAGCATATAACTACTGATTTGCTATTTTCAATATCTAGTCTAACTACGTAGGTTGAAACATACGTCCTTCTGATAGATTCTTTACGTAAATAATTTATTAGAATCCTATTGCATGTCTTAAATTGTGTGTTGAGCGAAATATATTTAAAGAACTCATGTTCTATACCCGGTTATGAAAAATATGCTTCTCATATAGATGTCTTTTTCTACAAACCATAGCCACTATGCCTAATAGACAAAGTTTAACAATAGAGAAAATTATCATAATCAACTAGTTAATAGTTTATTTGCAGTATATTTGAAGCTATTCTGATCAAGAGAGTTCTTTTGCAAATAACACTTCTAGCATTTCCATACAGGAAACTCTCTTCACAACCTACTTATTCTGGTTAAAATACTCATTTCTAGAAATTCAGTATGCTTATATTTCAAAGAAATTGCAAACGTCACTAGAAGTTTCTGAAACGGTTTTAAACTTGCCAAGACGCGAACTGATTCTTGTAATAAATAACTGATATTTGTGGCCCTCTTGCTTCTCCCTAATAACTAGCTGTTCTGTTACCGCTGACATTTATTTATTCCTATGTTGAATATATAATTTAATCAACTTGGTAATAAATTTTTGCGTCTGGAGGAACATGTATGTTGTGACAAAATCTCCATGCACTACGCCAGTCTAAGTTTCAGTGTGGACGGTCCTGGAGTTAAAAAAAGAGCCCTGTGTTGAACGTTATAAACCGAAAAATGTTTATATAGCAGTGATCATTGAATACTGTGGGTGCGTGAATACGGTCTGACGGAAGACAGAGATGGATAAAGCAGGGAAGACATAGAATAAAGTCAGTAAAATGGAATGAGGAAAGAGGTCAATTGGAATAAAGAGGATATGATGAAATAAAGGAGAGAGAGAAAGAAAATAAGAAGGAAGGAAATATAGGGAAGTGGTGGAAGAAAAGAGACAGGAGGAAAGGTGTAGAAAATTAACGAATAAATAAGTGAAGAAAGAGAAACGGAAATGTAAAAGGGAAAGACAGAAACAAAGAATAAAGAAGAGAGAAGAAAAGAGGATAGGAAATGACGAAGGAAATGAGTGAAGAAAGAAGTGAAGAACGGAAGGGAAAAATAATAATGGTTGATTCTTAATCAGTAAACTATATTTGCAAACCTTGAGACAAAATGCGAAATGAAGTACAAGGTATTTCGCTTATGTGTATTTGTATTCCGAAAGTAATGAGCAATATAACAATTCCAGTTGGTCGTTAAGAGGGACGTTATAATCGAAGTAGCCTATTTAAAGCTTGATTTGTTTGTATGGTTTATTTTAAAGGAACATTGCGTAGCTCCACGAAGCAGAGTCCTTGAGAAGATGATATTCCCTCAACTGATCAAGAAATTTCCCGACTTTTAAGGAACCCTAAGTTTCACTTCCATGTTCAAAAGAGCTCACCACTAGACCGTACCAAAACGCCCAGACCCCATTTCTTTGAGGTCCATTTAAAAAAAAAATCCATCTACACTTAGGTCTCCGAAGTAATATCTTTCCTTCAGGTTTTTCTACTAAAATTCTAGACGAATTTGTCATCTCTCTCATGCGTGCTGTTGGCACCCACGTCTCATACTTAATTTATTTATTCTAATAAGTGTGACTAAAACGTTTGCAATCAAATCAGTACCAACTTTTTGTGCTTGTTAAAATCGATGTTTGCATTTTTCGCATGAAACAAGTCGAGAACGGACAAACCAATTTGAACGAAATTTGACACTGGAGAATTTTATTTTAACTATCGTGTTTAATTTTTAATTATATCCGACAGTTGTAACGACTTTGTTTCTTAAGCCTATTTCGTCATTTTGAGAAATATGTTTGTCCGTAACACAATACATCATTTTACCGTCTGTACCAATTGTTTTCCCCAAAAATTAATCTTTCTCGCCTTCCAGAATCACTCAGGGCAGTCGTTCTGATTTTGATGCAATAATTAAAAATAATTAAATTCACTCTCATTTTTACCCGATGATTAATGTGTTTCTGTCTTTAACTCTTGTAGTTAGACTACTATAACATCTGTAAAGTAAAATATATTATAACCCTGTACTTCCATCTCTCAGAAAGATCTGATTTCCAAAGCTGCTGGCAAGGGCTTTGGTAGGTAGGAATATTATGACGCGGGTGTCAAAGGTCATTGACTTACGTAACACTGACGTCACTGGACACTCAAAAGCCAAATGTCGGACTGGAATATTCCCACTAAGCATACGTTTACATCAACAAACAAGTTAATCTTTTTATGATTATAATTAAGAACACATTATTCTATTATGCCATCGAGAACGATGGACCCGAAAGCAAGACTTCGATGAATTTAACAGCTGTCAATGAAGGAATTTAGCCACGTGCACATAACGCTGTAGAGAAATTGTTGAAATTTAATTAAACTGGTTCTGTAAGTAGGATTTGAGGTTTTCACGACCGTGAGACCGAAGATGGTTGTCTTCTGGTTTGTAGCGTCGTGAAATCTGGTAGAAGTTTACCAACATTTCATAGGTCTTAGCACTGAAAATGGTGGCAACAAGGACCCATAAAAAGTTAGTATAGGCTACTTCTACCAGACTACACGGCGCTACAGCCCAGAAGACAGCCATCTTCAAACTGGTTTTGTTTCACAAACCACTTTTAGGTCGTCCTATCGTCTCGTAAGAGGAAAATTGTCGTACCGAAAATGTGTAGTAGTCCTTAAAAAGCGCCGAGACTACTCGTGTTCGTTCTCCGTCTCATGTTCCTCCGTGTGGACGGTTTTACGAGCCGAAGACCGAGCAGTAGAGCCGTACACACCGGCAGCAGTCGCGCCGAGCCGCTTCAGCACGAACGCTAGCATGAGCAGGCTGGACGTACCTTAATGACTTAATGACCGGCGGAACAGTCTGGAAATCTATCAGGACAAATGCTGTAGGACTATAGTACAGGTTCAAAACTAATGTGTCGTTGCGTCTGCGAAATGCCTTGATACAAGTCTTCCTCAGTCCCTCCAGCCGATTGCTGGAATGATACTTCCACAGGTACATTCAACTACGGCCTTTTCCAAAACGTTTCCAGTCGCACTGGCATTTGACACAACAATAACCGGCCATTAGGTGTGCACGTTCGTAAACAATTCGCAATACTTATCCTCGTGTTCTTAACCTGTGCGGTGTCGACTAAGGACGCAGCACAAAAGCGTCTTGGAACTATTTATTAACAGCTTCCCAGGTTAAATTTTTCTTTCATATTTACACAACAGTTTGTCTAATATTAATATTAATATTACCTTTACACGTTCTACTTTAAATTATGTCTGTTTTTTTTGGTATCTAACAACTCAGTGTAATTTATTTAGTTTAAAAATTGTATATTGGATAAAACCTTATAACATTCTTAAAACGACCAAATTGTTGTCTAAATTACAAGAGTTTGAAAAGAAATATCAGAGGAAATATTTGAACGTAAGAAGTGGGCAGTTTATGATATTACGTGGAGAGCAACTTTGTGATTTAAAGTCACCTGGTATTGTTAGGATGACGAAATCTATAGACTACGGTGGGCTGGAGATGTGGTTAGAATGAGCGAAACAAGGAATACGTACAGAATTTTGGAACCGAAATCTGAATAACCTGATAATGAGGTAAATATTACATTTGTGTGAATCTCGGGTTTATTGGTGGTGAGGTTGTGAAGTTGGTGAGCCTGATTCAGGCGGGCTTTGATGAACTTCCGAAATCTGTGGTACTTGAGGTACAGGGATGGGGAATTATGGGTATCAGAAATGGGAACAAGACGAAAGACACTTATGAATTATGTTTTTAACTTACTTGTTTAACTGCTGTTTAAACGCGATGCACCTCCAGTACCTTCCTAGGCTTCCCAGTAGGATTTCGATGTCTTGACGTTATATAACTGTGTAAGTCTGCAGGGGATTATATATCTTCTTATAACACGTGCTGACAAACAGAACATACGCGGAGCATGTACGCGGTTTAGAAGTGTCCTCGTGTTGTGTCTGAAGTCACGCTTTCAGGCTGTCAGTTGTTTCACCAAGTGTGAGGGTTCCCAGACGTGTGCACTGGTTTATAGCCTGATCTGAAGGCGGCGTCCTGGAGGGGCGCATAAGGCCGTCGCACGCATCCCCGTCTGCGCACCGCTCCTTTGCCATGGCGACCAGCTTAACCTTTGTAGTTCTTCACCTGTTTCGATAGTATCGCTATGATATTTATATCTGAATTTGATTACAACCAAAACTGACCTAGCATTGTACTCTTCAGGCTGTTAAATGCTTATCTTCAGTACTTTAAACTGAATTCACAGATCTGTAACAATTCACGTACTAATATAAATACCACTGAAATGGCTGAATGATTAGTTACAATGTAATAAATTGAAGATTTCTGTCTTCTGGGTTGTTGCGCTGTGTAGCCTGGTAGATGTTTACCAACGTTTCAGACGTCATACTGCCTCCGTCATCAGGGCGATGAATCGCCCTGATGACGGATGACAGAAATCTTCATACTCACAGCTGTGAAAACCTTAAATCATACATGTAATAAATTGTTTGACTCACCCGATAGTTGTCACGTCGTTTAATGACGCGGTATCAACTGTACAGCGGCGTTGAATACGGCAGTATGGTTATGTGTAGTACTGAAAAGAACTGGTCGTGGCCGATATAAACCAATAATGACATTCACTTGGAATGATTTATACCTGGGTTATTTAACGACGTATTATCAATTGCAGAGTATTTACAGCGTAAAATTGCGCGATCGTTGTGAATTATGAATAGAAAAACGTTCTATAAGGAAGCTACCGAGGAATATGTTATGTAATATCTTGGAATTTGTTTAGAGGACTGACGAAAATCACGATGGATAGCGGAATATCTGATAATCGGACCGAGGTTTGAATCCGGAAATTCTTAAATACGAAGTATGAGAGCTTCCGTACTATTATTTTGGATAGACAGACGTAAGAGTATAGCAGAATAGTTGGTAAACGGTCAGGACTTAGGCCTTTAATGCACAGTGGTAATTATGTATACCACAGAGGGTTGAACGTGGAACTTCTGGAGTACGAGACACATATTTACTTGAATGTAACATAGCGTTTCAGTGCTGAACAAACATTTGTTTTTGAAGGGCTTTCTTACTCTTCATGACATTCCACCGAAGCGGCCTGCTCTTATTCAGGCACAGTCGCTTCTTTACATTTATGACACAAATTTCCCTTCACAAATTAATTTTGGTTTGAAGAATATGTAACTCGGTTAAACGAACAGAAAAATATTTCAGTTTTTCAAAATATTTCTTTTTATTTCTATTTCCGCATAAAACAGTTTATTAAATTTAAATTATTTCTCATCCCACAGTCGTATCTGTCACAGAAATCGTTGAGTAATGACAAGTTAACATTCAATTTAAAATCCATTTGGGGCTAAGAAAGGGGAAACTTACGTAAACTCTTAACTTTCGGTTTAGAGGAGAGTAGTAGATATGCCAACTTAAGGCTTCTGGCCTCTTATCCGTGATCAATTATCACAAATAATTTCCTAACATGGCTCCCAGAGCTGCTGTATTTGTTGTACTGGAAATGATAAATCATTCCCTCACCAGGTTTCGAACTCCGTCCAACCCCGCACTGACAGCCAGGTGCAGTTTCGCTGTGTTTTTCCTCGACTGTTAAATCTTTGGTTCAAGATCAATTTTTATTTTTATTGAAATCAGGTCGAGTGCAGTAGCAACTTTGTAACACGAAGATAAATTCTGAGTCATGTAATTCTGATGATTGAGTGGGTGATTTATATATAGACGGACAATCTGTTGTTCTGCGCGAACTTCACCGTCTGTGTGCAGCATCACTGAACCGAACGTTGCCACAGTTCGTATACCGGAGAACGCAGGTTTGAATCACGGCCAGCACTCAGACGTTTTTACCAAATCAACAACCAGCATCTCCATCTTGTGATACCTAAGCCGCATCGAGCAGATTTCTTTTAGAGCAACTGATTGTTTCTCAGCGGATCACGAAATTCTCTTTATTTTATGGAATCCGAACGTTCATTACATTGTTCACAAAAGACCGCCACTGGTTCTTTCCTGAGCCAGATGAATCCAGTCATATAATATACAGGCATACCTCGGAGATATTGCGGGTTCGGTTCCAGACCACCACAATAAAGCGAGTCACACGAATTTTTTGGTTTACCAGTGCATATAAAATGTATGTTTACACTGTACTGTAGTCTATTAAGTGCTAATAGCATTATGTCTAAGAAAAACAATGCGAGAACATTGCGAGAATTACCAAAATGTGACACAGAGACACGAAGTGAACACATGCTGTTGGGAAAATGGAGCCGATAGACTTGCTCGACGCAGGGTTTCCACAAACCTTGAGTTTGTAAAAAAACGCAATATCTGCGAAGCACAATAAAGGGAAGCTTAACAAGATTGATTTTAATATTATCTCTTCATCGAATACTAGGTTTATCAACTGATCCATTTCTTTCAGGTTTTCTGACTACGATTTTCAATGTGTTTCTTGTATCTCCCACATTTGTTACATTCTTAGAAGTCTTATCCATTTTGATTTTATCTCCTTAATCGATGCACTATTTAGTGGAAGGTACAAATTTTGAGATAGAGGCCTTACGAAGGGCTGATCGCTCATCTAAGGAGTCCTACCAAATGTGTAAACAGATAAATAAACCTGACATGTGTGAGGAGACCAAGGTCCTTCAAGAACTATAGAGTCACTGATGATGATGATAACAAGAAGACGAAGAAGGACAACAAAATCAACAGAATCATGAAGCTCCTCTTTGTGCTGTTTCCTCCAGCCTCGTGTTACTTCCTCTCTCTTTGATCCAAAGATCTAAATTAATTATTGACGTACAAAAGTTGACCTTTGACCGTCCCACTTACCTTACATGAACGAAGCGGTTTATCTGCTTCATCACGTGTCATAAGCATAGGAAGGTCAGTATCTCATCTACACGACCTTTCCATACATAAAGAATGTTCAGTTAGTGACTCGTGTATTTACGAGGCTGCATATTAGTAACAAATAAAGACTCTGTACAACATTAAATGCATTAATTATGTACAGCTCAGTGACTTTGGCACCGTGTTCTTGCGTAGTCCTATTGCGAGGCACTGCCCTATACAAAATGGAAAGTTCTCAAGCGTATCACTCGACCTGACGCTTCTAGACAGCGTTTTGCAAATAATTTTCCACTTTAAAGCAAACCTGACCTTTACGTGTTGGATCCGGAATTTACAAAAGAGTCATGTAAGTACAATCATTCTATCTGGCTTAAAGAAAATCTCACTAGGGCGAACTTTTCTCTTAATTTTCTTCCATTTTTAGACAATTTATTTTCTTTGTTCCCCTTTCTCTTTCTTTCGTTGTTTTTATTTCAATCCCTTTATTTGTTTTTTCCTTTAATTGTTTATGTCTTTCTCTGTTTTATCAATTTTTTCTGTTCTTGGGCATTTTTATTATTTCTACGATTTATTATTTTTACTGTTGCCTACAAAGACCCCTCTTAAGTTACCGCATGGAACATGCCAATGGAACTTTACGTCTCTTTCTGTACCAAAGTTGAATGTAGTTATGCAGACATAAATAAAAGGAAGCCGGAAGTAAAGATCTGAAAAAAATTGAACTCTGTGTTAAGTGAACATTACTAACCCAAGTAAAAACAGTTTCGCTTTTGTGATTGGGTCTATTTTAATAGGTAAGTTAGTTGTTTGTTTCATATTTTAATAAAACAATTAAATGTGGATAGGTTCTTTACTTATGACTACGTCCTGTATTGATGATGAAATCGCTCCGAAAGAAGCCATCTTGGAAGACTGAGAAGGAATTTATTTATTCATAGTTTATTTATCGACACTCTTTTACCTCTCAAGCGTCCAATAAGAGATTGATAGTGAATAATGGATTAGAAAGGATTTGGAAGGAAGCGGTCGTATAGTAATTTAAGGTCCTATCTCGGAATTTGCCTGGAGGATAGCCGGTCTCCGGGCCTAGAAGGATTGTAGGTAATTAAGTTGTTTAGACGTCGTTTAAGGAGTGTGACTCTGTAAGGAGTAATGTTGCTAAAGAATTACTCGTGCGGAAATCGATTTGTTACCAATACCTAATGCGTGATGTATGACGAAGTTCTGTGGCAAAATTTGTCTTTGTGCCCAAGTTACATGTGGAGTACTAGATGGAGATGAGTGGTCAGCTGTCGCTTTGACCTTAGTATTTATGGAAGTGACGCTGTGGGTCAGAGCCGGGAAGAATTTTTGTTTTTCAGTCTGTTACGCCATAAATAACTATTGAGAAAACGCGTACAGAAGTTTATTAAACTCTAACAAGACCTTGAGAGGATAAAACAGAAATATGAATGGTTGAATTTATGTCACAAAATCTTGTTTGCTTCAGAGTTTACCTTATCAGTTCTTACCAACTTACTAGATGGCTTACGAAACCCGAAGGTTCATTACCGAATTAACCAAAGCCCTCCACCGCTACCTGTCCTCTGCCAGAAAAATCCAATCACCTTCAACTCCTATCTCCCATAGATCCTGCCTGAGATTATCCTTCCATCTACGTCTAGGTCTCCCCAGAGGTCTCTTCCCCTCAGGCTTCCCAAATAGTGGACCCAACCAACCAGATGGCTTACGGAACTCGAAGGTTCATCACCGAACTAACCAAAGCCCTCCACCGGACCCTGTCCTGGGCCAACTAAATCCAGTCTCCTTCGACTCCTATCTCCCGTAGATCCCGCCTGAGATTATCCTTCCATCTACGTCTAGGTCTCCCCAGCGGTCTCTTCCCCTCAGGCTTCTCGACCAATACCCGGTGCACACCTCTTGCCTTGTCGGTTCGCCCAATCTTTTTTCACATATTTAAACACTGCTTGTTAATCTTGATTACGTTCTTGATATCTGAGGTCAAGGCACTGAATATTTAGATACCCGTATGGACTTAGAAGTATGCCGACGTTTCGGAGGAGCATACTGCCTGTGCACAAGGCATTATGTTTTTTTCCCCCCGAAACGTTAGCATG